CGGTGAGCCGTCCCATTTTGTTTTACGGAATCATGATCTGGTCAAAGGGTGACGTGCATGATGATCATGGCGGCGTTACCCTCAACGCTACCTGAAGCCCTAGAGACCTAGAGACCTAGCTTCACTGTAGCTGCAAACTGTTATGCTATTATCCTAAACGCGCTGATCAAGTGGAGTGATACGAGATTCGCACACTCCAGAATTCTGAAAGATCTTCCAGCACTGATGAAACATTTTGAAACAAAGATCCCCTCACGGACTGAATGGGATGAGGATTCAGTCATAATCTCTTACTCCGACTCAGCAGCCTTCAAGTACACTGATGGCTCCAAGTTGGATTTGAAGGAAGGAAGTGGAGTATGCTGGCAATAACATTCACTTAGCCTCAGTTTTTGTCTGCCAGATCTTTGCAGCGTTTTTCAAGCAATTAATTGTGACAAATCGTCGTCGAGGATTGTCATGGAATATATACGAGCCGTAAATGAGCTGGCATGGAGAAACGTAAATATAGCGATGTACCGAGCAACTGTGTTGCGGATGAACTGGAGAGGAAAATCGCCTTACTGTCGGAAATCAGAACTGCGTGCATTCCGCTATCTTTTTGCAAACTTTGGCTGGAGAATAATTTCATCGAACATGCAGTACAGCAAGGCATATTTGGCCTAGTTTGGATAACTGCTCCGTAATGTAATTGGAGTTCCCCACGGTCATTGCATGTTGAAATCCCATGCTAGTAGAGTGGGTATGTAGTTAAACGAGCGCTGTCGTAGCTGCCGTGTTGAGGACGAAATTAAAACGTAGACCATTACCTGTTCCACTGTCCTACATAGGCGAAGGTTCGTAGGCACTCGTTTCACCCTTATTCCTTTGAATAATTGGCTGAACTGCACTCAGCCAGTATCTACGATTTTGTGCGCTTCATTGGGGCTACAAATTGTTTTACTTTTATAGCATGTGAAGGGATGTAAGGAGTCTCTAATATGGCATCACAATGGGTCCACAGAGTACCAAGTGTGCCCTTATCCCATGTTAGATGGAGACAGCCAATATAACTTAACTTAACCTAAACTATATGGAGCCAAGACATGGACGATTTCGAACAAAGAAGTCACAAGGGTAATGGTTTGACAGCACCTTTGATAAGGCACCTGCGAAAACAAGAGAAGAAGTAAGCACAGAGAGAGCTGTCTGCCCTTGGGTTAGATTTTTTTTCATTGGAACACAAACTACTAAAGTTTTGGTTGTACCAAGCAGGGGTAACTGCTAAGACATTTTCAAAAAAGTATCATTAAAAAAAAAACATCAAGCCCGGGATCCGTACCAAAGAAATAGTGACACGTTGTGGATCGCATATGAGCTCTCTGCACCGCAAATGTGGCAGTTATAGCGACTATATTCGGTATCTTCTTCTTTTTTCTTATTTGGCACTACAGCCGTTTGTCGGTCAGGGTCGAGACCAAAAAGCGTCTCCGAGTGCCTCTCTCCTGTGCGCCAGTTGCTCATACTGAGCGCAGACAGGTCCTGCTGCAATTTGTCCTACCATTTTGTTCGTGCGCGTCCTTGCTTTCGTTGTCCACCTATCTATAATTATCAAAGCCAATAAAATAAAAGTGAGCTTGCTTTAGAGCTTGGGATGATTTTGCTCGAAAAACTTGCTTCCATTTTTAGATATTGTTCAGCAATGAAAACTCGTGGTTCTAACTGACAGCTGTCATACTGCATTTTCTTAGCCATAAACTCAAATTGTGAGTAAATTTTCGGGCACCCAAATGCAGGAAGCTAAAGTAACTTATAGATTTAATTACTTCAAAAATATATTTTTTATGACTCCTAAAAAAAAAGTTTAGAAACTCTCATGCACTCAATACATATGCATATGTAGAAAGAACTCACATGCATGTACGTGCGCTTGTGGCACGACTAGTATGAATAAATATATGGGTCAGAAGTGAATGAGGGTGAAATTATTACCTCCAACAAACATGCGTTAGAAATGTACATATGTATGTATATGCATATAAAGTAAACTTGATTCGATTCAAAATTCACTTGGTTTTAATACATCACGTAAAACATATGTATGTATGTATGTGTATACTTTAGTATATATTTACATTGAAATACGTAAGGCTATAATTTTCATTCGTTCGTCCATTCGCGCCCTACCCACCACTTAACCGTTCAAGCAGAGGGGGTTCGTAGAAAAACTTTAAATAAATACATTTTATAATGGTGGGAAAATTTTAAAAACTAATCCATTGTTATTTATCGATTTCAGTAAGTGAATGAAATTTGTCGCTATGGCTGGTTTTTTTTAGTTTGGTCATTGTGTGTAAATTTTAAGCCAGTCAGTTATTTAAGTGCCGCAGAATATAAAGGATGTACTGAAATTTGAAGAAAATATTAATTATTGAAAATAAAATTAACAAGGTTGTGAAAATTATTGCTTACATTTTTTAATTATTTTTCCCTGCAAAATGTCCAGTTTGAATAGAACTAACGGTACGGCTGCATTCAAGTAATAAATATGTGAGCTAAATAGAGCTACAGCTGATAGATACTTTGGCTTAACATTGTAGAAGATAAGCAATCAACACTGAAGTAAAAGATTTAAGCAATAGAAATCTAAATTTTTGTAAAATGCAATTGTCTAAATACGAAAATAGTTGCACTGTCTTTGAAAATTTTCAAATTGTGATATATTCTCTAGCATTGAGTTACAAATAACTAAAACAAAAACTATGTTGTGAGGTACGAAAATTAAGTAGGTTAAATTACACCTTGCAACAAAAACAAAAAAATTTCAAAACACAAGAAAAAAATTAATTTACTCACGAAACTGGGTGACGAATGTAGTAAAACTACGTTTTTGGTTTTTCTCTCTCGAAGTCAGGATTTTTTTAAAGGACCTTGAGATTCCAAAGATGTAATTGATTAAAAAAAATTATTTAAAAAATCTAGTGCAAAGTGTAATAACAAATTAAATAGGTACCAAATGAAAGAAAAACATGTTTAAAATTAAATTTGGTACATTTTACCTACTAAAGTTGATGGGATGAAATTCCATGATGTGGCCTTGTGTACATAGTCTTGAACATATATTTTTTTTCAGAAATTATTATTGCAAATTTTTGAAGTCTAAAATTTTAGAAGGACTTTTGAAAAACCTTTTCGTCCTCGTGCACAACAAAATTGAGTCTTTTAATATTATAGAATTTTCTTTTTTATTTGTTACCCATATTGTTACTCTACATTTGCCAATTTTTTAAAATAATTTTTGCAATTAATCATATTTTTGAAATTTCCTAGTCCTTTAAAAAAACTGACGTCAGAGAGAAATAATAAAAACGCAGTTATACATATATTTGGCCCCTTCTTTCTTGTGTGCAGATTTTTCGGTTGCACGGTGTTACTAAACGAGTACATTTATGCAAGTCATGCGAAACTGAATGTGGGCAGCGTTTTGCAATGCCAAAACAAACAGCCGTTGATGGTTACATTTTAATAGTGGTTGTAGGCATCGGCTGATAGAAAGGATTTCCTTGTCTGACACTTAAAAACGTGCTTATGCTATATTGTGATCAATACTAGGCTAAATACATAATTGAAATGGGTTACAGAGAAAACAAAGCAAGCGAGATGGGAGGTTAGTTAGTTGTCTATTATATACATTAGTTTGTAGATCTGAGCTAAAAAAGGAAGTAGTTCCCCTCCCCTTCCACAAAAAAAAATATATTTTTAAGTTTAATAAAATTTTTTTAGCATCTCAAACATTTTGTGGTGTATGTCTTGATGTTGAAACACAAATGGAGGCCCCTAAATTTTGACACTGTTTTCGAACAAAAAATAATTTTTTTGAGAAGATTTTTTGTGACAGAAAAAGCTACACTCTAAGATTTACTGCTGCCTGTCAAGTGACGACTTCTGAAATTGAGATAAACATGAATTTTGTTCACTTGCAATTCAGCCGGTGAGTTAAATGTTGTCCACCTATTTTCTCTCACGTAGTCTATGGCCTTGAAAACTGCAAATATCACGGGTGGAAATACCGACGCTTATTCTCCAAGCGAGCAGTGAAGATTTTCCATATTACATTCGGGAACTCAGCATTATAGTATCTCTTCAGCAAAGGCAATTTTGGCGTACTAACATATGACATTAAAAAGGCATTACCGTCTAGATAAATGGCAATTTCTGGCTATTTCCACCAAGCGCTAATTTCTTAAAAACCTACAAGTAACCTTAAAAATTCGTCTTAAAAATTTGTAAACCCACTCACATGTTGTGAGTGCGCAGAGAGGCCTGTTACTATTTGTTAGCCTTGAGGAGAGCCCGCGTTAGGGTTCCATGGAATGGAACATATATTTTTGGATTTTTTTCGGATCTTCTTAATTACGAAAATGCATCTGTCAAGTGCAGAACGAAAACGTATTCAAACGAGAAAATTTCCAAAAATAAATCTGTTCGAAGTACGCAAAAGACCGTTGGCGCCAACTGTTCGACATATCTTCTACGGAAAACAAAACCTCTTTTAGAGCTAGTTTTGCAAAAATGATAGTCAGAGCCTTAAAATGCTACACAAAATTTTATCAGTGATCACCGAAAACGAAAATTCTTAGCGAATTAAGGGAATGCGTGAATATATACATAATGTTTCACGAAGAAATATAAAATTTTGCGAAGAAGAAGAAACTTTAACTTGCTAAAAAAAAATGGCTGTGAGATGAAGCAAAATGCTTTTGCATATTAAGAACGTACTGGTTTTAAGAATATCAATAAAAATTTTTTTATAGACGTATCTCTAAGAACATGTCTTCTCTTTTCTGTCATGTGGCCCCACATAGAAACTAGTCATAGGGATGGTCTGTCTAAATCTAGAAGTTATATTTATATTCGTTTCATTTAACAAACTAAATATTTGAAATAAAAAATTGGTGACTTTCTACAGTTCGTCCTTGTACGTGATAAAAATCTCGCTCAGTATTTCCACTGCTTGAAAAATGCCTCTCGCGTCACTTTTTTCAGAATCTCCTGAGCCAAAATCCCAAACCGGCTCAGCAACCTCATTAATTAACTCTATCAATGGCGATTGTTCTGGTGAAAATAGGCAAGAAATGGGTGGCGTTGGAGCTAATGAAATCAATATAGTACCTGATTGCACAATAACCACAATCAATAGCATTGACCAAACCGCCAATAAAACTGCAAGCACGAACAAAGCGGTCGAAAACAATTACCAAAGCAATGCTTCAACAACAAGCGTTAGCACTAAATATACAACAACAACAACAACAAAAACGATGAATTCGGTGCACAATACATTCAGCTCATCATCGTCTAACTGCAATGAGCCGGCTGAAATAGGCGCAACGACAACACCAACACCAACACCAACACCAATTACTGATTTCTATCGAAATGCCACCATTCTTATCACTGGCGGTACCGGTTTCGTTGGAAAAGTACTCACACAGAAATTGTTGCGTGCATTTGAGTTGCGTAAAATTTATATGTTGATTCGTTGTAAAGATAATATGAGTGTGGAGCAACGCTTGGAGAATTTCTTTAGCGAATCGGTGGGTATAAATGTTATTATTTATTTATTTACTTATATGAGTGCTAAGTCTATGTTTGTACATATATATATTTTTATAGACTTTTAATGTAGTTTACATAAATTCATATTTACTCATCTGTTTAATACATTTATATATATATATATCTTGCCTTATTTTCGACAGATCTTTGACACTATACGTGCCGAGCAGCCAGATTTATTTCGAAAGGTGCATCCCGTTCGTGTGGATTACGGCGCTATTGATTTGGGCATTATCTCAGAAGATAGAGAGATTTTATGTGAAGAGGTGGAGGTTAGTTGCTTAAACAGTTTTGAAATAAATTTGTTTGATACCTTTCCTTTCACATGAGTAAATTTAATTGCCACTATATAATAAAATAAATAATATAAAAAACTTTTTAATATACAACGCTTTTATAAATGGACTAAAAAGTAGAAAAGAATACTTCTCAGTCCCATAGAATTTATTTTGATAACTTTTGATTTTGAAATTTTAGCAAAAGTCATTATAAACAATCTATGAAATTGAAAATGAAAAACGTGGAGCGCATGCAATACAAAGCATTCGATTTAATTGACAATAGTCAAACTACATAACGTAGACCTAAAATTTCTACAGCGAAAGTAGAACTCTGAAATCGATTTTAAGCGGTCGTTATTCATATACCCACATACATACATTCATATATTACTTTTCATATCAATTCAAGTGTATTACATGCGCCCCACGCTTTTCATTTTCAATTTCATAGATTGTTTATAATGACTTTTGCTAAAATTTCAAAATCAAAAGTTATCAAAACAAATTCTATGGGACTGAGAAGTATTCTTTTCTACTTTTAAGTCCATTTATAAAAGCGTTGTATATTAAAAAGTTTTTTTTATATTATTTATTTTCTACTTTTTAGTCCTGTCTGAATAAAATTTTGCAATAGATATTAAAATAAGTCAACGATATTAATAGAAAGGTGCACACACATGCATTTACATATATATGTACATACAAACGAGCACCAATTAATTTTATTTAAAGAAATGGCGTGTCGTCTATTTCCGGTGTAGCAAACGTAGTACATAGGGCGACATCTAGATGTCATCTACCTCGCCCTATTCACTATGCCTTTTTATAGGAGCTTTTCAAAGCTTTGCTTTATGGTGTCGGACACACAACATTGAAAGTTTCTGGAACACAACATTGCAAGTTGATAAAAGCGTTGTAAAATAGGCATAATGAAACTCATCGTTGGGACATTTTTATACAGATCACTTTTAAAGATTTCTTCAAAATCTTTGTCATAGAAATTTCAAATTTAAAGTCTTTGTTCTCGAAAAAGTGGAACAGAATGTTTTGTAAATGCAGATGAAAGCAATTTTTTATTGCGCTGGATTTTATGTATAATGAATGTTTTCTAAAAGGGAATATAATAAGATGTAGTTCACTGGAGCCTTCTCTCAACAATGCACTGCATAAGTTGCTTAGAGTAAACGTTGCTAAATTTCCATAGAACTGTACCTATATCTGTCTTTATCACATTATTTAAAGTGTGGGCTAGTAGCATGCGATTTGCCGTATGGACCGACCATACCTAACCATTGTGAGACGGCACTAGCATGTGGAACTTCGAATGGGCAGCCACATTCTCCGAATTTTTATTTTTTTTTCAGAAGGTGATGTGTCCATACCAGTCCTTTTACGGTTAGTAGCTTATCTTGCTTTCTTCTGCACTTGTGAGAGTATGAGTTTGATTTATATCTACGTATATACTTACATCTGTCTCCCGAAGTCTTAATTCAGATCACTTTCTCGTTGTTGCTGTTGTAATAGTACTTATAAAAATATCTTCAAAACTGTTTTGAGGAATATTTAAAAGGTGACAGACCTTGGCTTTATAAATATCTGGTTTCGTGTTAACGCAACCGTCGCCCTAAAATCAAAATATTTTGATATTTGCCGTGTCGGTTTCCTAGGTTTTGGTGGAAAACTAAATTTGTTTCCGTATGTTCATTTCATAATATCGCCAACCCTACTGAGGTTGCAATAATGGTTGCCTTGTGTGTATCGAAAAAGAAAAAACATATTGCTTAAAAATTTGTTACAACGATTGCCTCGTGTGTAGTCAGCAGTAGAAAGAATTTTTTAGAGAGCACTGAAATTTGGTACGAGGGTACATGAAACTAATTCACTACCCATACAAAAAATAGGTGTAATTGAAAACGAGGCGTGGCTACTCCCATAAAAACTGAATTGTTTTATACGACATATCTCTGGAAGTAGTTTGACAGAGAATTGGAACTTGGTGGGAATATAGGTGTATAAAATAAATCCCATGAAAATAGGACTGGGGCACCTCCCATAAAAATTTTAATACTGTGCCTCTCTGGAAGTGTTTATGCTACAGAACTGGAACTTGGTATGGATATATACGAAGCTGATTACAAACTCATGAAGAAAAATGGGCTTTATTGAAAAAGAAGGCATGGCTCGCATTGTACGTGCTAAAATTTTTATACGGCTTACCTCTGCAAGTGTTTATAGTTGAGTAATGGAACTTGATATCAAGTGGTACTAACTCAATTCCATACTTATGTAGAAATATGAAAGTTACTGGATAAGCAGCCGTGGTATTCCATAAAAACTGAATAATTTATGCTGGCCTTCTACTAGGCATTAAATGGCAAAAATTGTAAATGACAAAGTCGGACATCAAAAAATAATCATGTCATTATACTAAAAAAATAGTTTTTAAGTTCATTTCCACATTACCTTTTTTTAAATTGCATAAATTTTTGGTCATTTCAATGTCTAGTGGAAATTCTATGACTATTCCAATGACTTCGGCCTTAGTTGGTGGTAGATGTGAATGAAATCGAGAGTTTGGAGCACTACCTCTGTCACTGCCCTACTCTCATGTGGGCGAGAAGACGCCATTTCAACACCACCGTTTTGTCTATCTGGCTGGCCTAAGTGAAGCAGGCATTCACGAATTTTTGCGCTTTCTGAACCTAACCAACTGGTTCTACTTCTAGGTGAACGAACGGGTTGGGTAAAGGCAGCCGCTTCAACTTAACCTATGGACAATGTGGATGGTTAGTTGAAAAGGGCATGCGGCACCTTTTATACATATTGACAATTTCATCAGGCATATACTTATTGTAAAAGGTTTCGCGGTCTCTCCCATATAAGTAAAATTTTCAAACAGCAAATCTCTGGAAGTACTGAAGATAAGGTAGTGGAATTTCGTATGAAGATTTAACAAATTGTGGAGTTAATGTACAATGGACGTATATGATCTGAAATACTCATGATGCATATCTCTGAAATAACTTAAAATTAATTAAATAACAATTGCAATCCAATTAAAGTATTTAAAATGATATGAATGAAATTTGATGCACTATTTTCAGATTGTTTTCAACGTTGTCGCTTCAGTCAAATTCAACGAAAAGCTCAGCGATGCAATTGATATAAACGTTTTAGGTACAAAGAAGATACTTGATTTATCAATGGAAATGAAAAACTTAAAGGTATTAATGTATATTACATATATTTCTATTTCACAGGAGTCTGTGGTGCAAAAAAAATCTGTTTTCACTATGAGAAATTGGGCATATGTGCACATTGGACTGGTTAAAAAATATCGAAATTAAAAAAAAAAAAAAACCCTTGTGCAACATTTTAGGGTCGTGAGTGAAGAAAGCACAGCCCTTTATATTAATATTTAAAGGTCGCTCATGCGAATTCCTTTTATCCACGAAAATAGCACAGGAAGCGGTATATATTTTGGAAGAAAATTGAGGGCAGCAAAAAAATTCTCTTAAGATTTTTAGATAAATTTAATCCTACAAAAGTTATTTAAAGTTAAAACGAGTTCTTCATGGAAACTTATTAATTTTTATTTTTTTGTCCCGATAATATTTTGCAAGGGACTTAAAAAAAAACAAATAGTCCATATTTTGAGCCAGTCTAATGTACATACATACCACATATGTAAATAGCTTCTATGTTTTTGTTTTCAGTCACTTGTACACATTTCAACACTTTATTGCAATTGCAACCGGAAATTCATCAAAGAGCGCGTATATGAAAATGATATTGGCTATGAAAAAATTATGCAGGTAAGCGAGTAAAGGGTGGTAGGAAATATATTTGTTATGCATACATACATAAATAATTTTAATTGATTGAGAAAATATACGTATTTACTATAGGTATATGTAGTATAGACGTGCAAGAATTAAAACAAGCTAAAAAGAAAGACATTAATTTGTATAAAATCTACAGTTGCATGAAATATAAAAAGCATGCGGTTCGTGACTAAATTGAATTAAAATATTTTAATTGATAAAAATTTCGAATTTAGTTGGGTACTTGTGTTTGTATCAGCCAATATTTTATATATGCATTTACTTACTTGCATACGAGGACATATAAAAAACAAATTTGCTTAGTTTTTGCACGTTCAATTTAAATTGATTTTAGAAAAGTTTGCCGATAAAATAATTAAAAATATTTTATTGTTTTAATAAGATACATAATTACTCAACTATACATACAAACATACATAAGTGTTGCAATATCTGAATATTTTGATAGGTTTTGATGCGCTACCCTTTAGTTTTATTTCAATACATAGAAAAATGGGCTCAGCGGAACCATATATCAATGGTAAAGGGAGAAGAATTTAAAATGGCAAAATTCATTAAAAAAATTTTAAGAGAAATCTAAGTGCTGAAAAGGTTACATATGGATTTTTTAAAATTCTAAGTTAAAGTTATTCATCAAAAATATTGAACCCACCATTTTGTATTTTAAACTATTTAAAAAATTATTTGTCTATTTGAAAACTGAGAAGTAGCTCAGAAAAAAAATCAAACTTACAAAAAAAAAAAAACAAACGCGCATACAACAAAAAGTTAATATCTCTTATGGAATTTTTGTTGCAATAAACTTTATTTAATAAATAATTTATTTTTTCAAACATGTATGTTAAATAGATTTATCGCATTTTTGACGATGAGACGTTGGAAAAGTTTCGCCATTGCCTGATCGGTGATATGCCCAATACGTATACGATGACCAAGAAATGTGCTGAAAATTTGGTTAATCATCGGGCGTTCTACTTGCCAGCTGGTATATTTCGGCCACCGATCGGTAAGTGAAAAATATATATGTATATATATCTGTTTCCAACTACCGCACATACATAGTAAGTATGTATCATTAGAGCGTACAAGAAAAAAAGTTTGCCGTCCTCCTACGAATCTAAAGTATTTTTGCAAACCAATTTCGAAAAATTTTATTATTTTTTAAATTGTTCGTCATATTTTAGTCATTTACAGGCGGATCTTTAAGTAAAGCTCATCAAAAATCAATTAACCTTTGCTAAGCAAAAATTTCGATTACACCGGTGGAACTATTTTAAAACAAATTTTTATTGCCAAGTGTAGCTGTCACCGAAAAATATTAAAAAGCGACTCCTAGATTCGGCAAAAAATTTTTTTTTTTCGAAATTGCCTTGCAAAATTATTTAAGATGCAGAGGCGTACGGGGGATTTTTTCCGGCACAGTCTAATGTACGTACATACGTACAAACATCACAAGTTTCAAGGCTTTTTATTTTGAAGGGGCAAGAAGTTCGTTTGCCCTCTCAACTGAAATTTTACACCCCATTTTCTGTTGTGAATTAATAATTTCAATAAGCCCATCGATTTGTGATGATTAAAATCACCTTAAAGAAAGTTCGTTTTCTAAGCGAGAATACTGACATCTATAATTGACCCGTAACTTATGCCCTGCATTTTTTTTAAACCTCTATCTAAATATGACGACGTTAACCCTGGTCGTGTATAGTTCGTCGAAGCAACAAACATGAATTTATAATTCGCTATATTATTATTATATTAAAACCATACGACTTTTATGAAAAAAGTAAGCAATGAGCAGACGCAACCAGTTTTGATGTAAGACCAACGAGATCAGAACTTTTATTTGGGGTTTTCCTTCAATCTATGATTTATGTCTTGATGAAAGAACCTTACGCCGCCTCTAAACGCCTGCTAAGTTTGTATGATAATGCTTTTCATGGCAAAAACGCACTCGCAGGTTGGCCATAGCATACCAAAAGCTACTACGATGCTGCTCACACTAGAAATCGAATCTGGGTCCCATAAGATACACCACATAAATTTCTGAGAAATATTTGTATTTTTTTCAAACTTTATTCGCATAAAAGGCTTAGAAGGACAAAGGTCCTATATAAAAAGTGTTGAAAAATATGTATAACTGGAAAGCACAAAAGTAAATTTTTTACAAAATTGTTAGGGTAAACGGTTTATGTAATAAATATATACTTATAATATTTTATATTTGTATTATTTTGCGTCTAAGACTTTTAGTTTTGGGGTTCTATTGAGCCTTATATCAATAGATAGTTGATAGTTGAGATTTAAAAAAATATAAATATAAAATTTTGGCACAAAACGGAGGCTTACTATTTTACAAAAGTTACACAATTCCAATCGAGGGTTAAGAGAAACCGCATAGCTGGTGAATTTACCATGAGTGCACTAATCGATCTGGTAAAAGAAGCTTTCAAAGTGCGTCCGGTGATATTTAGAGGCTGAAGATGCATCAGCCGCGACTATGACTTATGCACAGTGTTGCCAGAAGTAAGATTTATCTTCAAGATGAAGATATTTTTCATAAATTATCAGAAAAATCTTCACATGAAGATAAGTACAACAAAATAAAACTCCATACAAAAAATCTTCACAGTGAACATATCTGGCAACACTTGAAGATTTATTTCTTTAATAGTTGGCAACACATTTTTTTTGTTTTTTCATCAACTTACCTTGCAGTACTGGTAGATATTAATATTGATTTTTATGAAAATGTTTTCGTTGTTGATTTTGCCTGTCAAAATTCGCGCTCAAACTCGAATTTGTGCAGCTCAAACTCGGCGTTATGAATTTCCACAAGATAAAAATTATGGATCGATATTTGTTTAAACGAAAAGTTAAGTAATTTTGGTTTCTAAATTTAAATAGCGAGGATGAATGCATAGATCCGGAGAGAGTTTTGCCTCAAATAAATTTGAACAAATCAAAAATTCGTAATAAGCTGGAAACCACCACCTTAAGTGGTATTCTTTATACAAAGGATAATTTAGATTTTTTTTAAAGCAAAATGTGTTATGGTTTTGTATAACAAACAAAATTTTAATAAAAAAATTTAAGTTTTTTTGTTACAAAATCTTCAATAAAGATATTTCTAGAGAAAAAAAAAAGATTTTATTCTAGTTTCACTAATCTTTTTATGGGTTTTTTGAAGATTTATCATCACTTGGAAGATTTTTAACAAGTTTTTTTCTGGCAACACTGCTTATGTATTCTCTAAGAAGGAGGGATTTGTGTGAAATTACAGGCAAAACGGCAAGACTTTAAGGGTTTTTAAGATTAAAAAGTATATGCATACGTTGTCCATAGAAAAGCTTTTAATTAAACGTTAAGCACTGTAAGGTTTTATCGAACGAGATTATTTAATAATAATTTTTTAGTGAGTAACGACTTCGCTGGCTGGCGGCAATTAATGTTTTCCTTAAAAATTTAAATTTTCCACATCATTTCATATTTTTTATCTTAAACTTCTTTTAAATTCGCCATTTGCCGATTCGAGAAAGACGCTTTTTTCTTACTACTTACCACACTGAAGGTAATGCAATGCTGATATTTGAAGGTAAAAAAAAAAAAAAAAATATCCAAAACTTTGTAAGCAAATTTACACTTCAATGACATAAATGTCCCATTGGACACATTTGTTAGAGATACGAAATTTTTGGAGTGCACAAATGCAGCAAAGCACAAAAAGGAAAATGCAGGCTTGCAACAATGAGGACAGAGTTTGAACAAACCATGTACTAGATAAAAGCCAAACCGACAAGGTAATGCACAGCAAAGTTCTTGAAATATAAACAGAGATAAATATATATATTCAAAGTTGCAGAATTCAAAACACAACAAAGCGCGCAAATATATACATATGTACACATTTTGTATAGAACAGTTAAGTCAGGAGAAGTTTGTTGTGTTTTGTTTGAGAATTGTTTCTTAAAAAAAATAAAAAAATTTAAGTATATAATTTACTAGATATCAGTATAAGTATAGCAATCATTGAAGCAAAAAGCAAAGCTCAAAAGCAGCTATGGAAGATTACGACTCCATAGAAATTTTTACTAGTATCTGTCACTATTAAATGAATATCTGGGAATACCAATACAAATAAAGAATGAAAAAAAAAACAGATTAAAACTAAAAAAAAAAAATAACACAAACGTTCAAGCAAACTGTGTGTCTGCTAACAGAGTTGAGATTTGGCTACCAAAACAATTTATTATAGTTTAGAACCTACGAACTTATACAAAAGCAATGGTAAATACAGTTATCTAACTATATAATATAAATATAAAGGGTGTTCGATTATTCGCCTTTCTTCCAAAACCGATTTTAGAGTTATCCGGAAAATTGCAAATTTGAAAAAAAAAATCGGTTCCTGATTTTGATTTTATTTAGAATCGAGCAAACCAAAATAAGTACAAAGTTTTTTTTTTAGGTAAAAAGTAAAACAAATAAGAAATCAGTGGGTTTATTTTAATTTTGTTTTTATACTTTATTGCTTTTTTCTGATTTCGTAGGTTGGTGGTGATCTTACCGCTAGCAGCGTGCTTAGAGGTGTCTGGTGCTTCCGGAAGGTCCAGAAAGAAAGAAAAATGTCTATTGAAAGATTTCTACATTTATCTTCAAATGAGCCATCCCGATCTTGAAATAATTTCACAGCTGTCCTACTATTTTGCAGAGCTTTTGTGGTGTTAATTTGTGTGAACATCTAGAGCTCTCAACGCCTACGGATGGCTGCCGCTCTTTTATTTTTTCAAAGGCATATACGTACAGTAAAACACGCTTAAGTACCTCACGAAAAATGCCATATTTTTGAGGTACTTAGGCGGGTTGGGTACTTAAAGGAACCCGCTTAAGTACCTCGATGCGGAAACTTAAGCAAACATAATCATCGATGTAGTTACATCCTCTTGTTAACTTATAAATAAATAAATCCTCGAATCCTAAAGAATAATGAAAAATTCATATAAAATAATGCAAAAGAAATGTAAAAGAAATTTTCTACTATCAAAACTTCTTAAATTAGTTTGCAGCTCTCAAAACAAAAAAATGTTAGGATATTTATTTCTTCAAGAAAATTTACAGCAAAAGCTTAAAGCGCAAACAGTCAACGACGTAGCGTAGACTTAGGTTGACGCAGACACGATCTAGCTTATGGGATTCGCGTGTTAACGAAAACTCACCACCGCATGGCGGTGACGTTGCCGTTGCTTCTCTCTCTCTCTATCAACAGTCAATTTTATATGCTGCTACGTACGTCAACCTACGTTTACGCTACGTCATTGACTAACTGAGCTTTTAGAATCCAGCTCTCAAGAAAAATCATAGGAAATATTTTTCATTATTTCTGTTGCTTTAAAAAACCGCTTGCCTTTCTTGCAAATTTTCTTGGAGAAATAAATATACGAGCATTTTTTTTTGAAAATTTTCTCTTCCATTTCTTGTGCGTAATTTTTTATGAATTTTTCGTTTTTCTTGAGAGCTAGAAACAAACCTAAAAGCAAGGTACTTTTTCAACCAACAGAAATAATGAAAAATATTTCGTGTGCTTTTTGTTGGGAGCTGCTAGAAGCCCTTAAACCTAAGCTTAAACACTGAACACTTAGAACACTGAAAAAAAAAATTCATAAAATTTTCATCAAAATTTCAAACATTTTTCTTAGAATTGTTTATAGCCCATTCAATTTTAGTGTAATAATGTGCAAGTTTCAAGTGGCTAAAAATTACCGTTGAATCTTTAGATTTTTTTTGTCGAACGTGTTGCGGGAGCACTTAAAAGGGGAAAACTATAAGTTTATCTGTCGTAGGTTTATCAGTTAGGAGTTTATCAGTTGCTCAATGCCGCGTGTGCGTCATGAGTTTGGCTTTGTTGTCGAAGGATATGACGATCCTGAAAGCCGATAATAAAGCTGCCACCCACTGGAAATTTCTGACAGTAATGCTCATTAAAAGAGATCCAGATAAATCAGGGCTAGACCCGTAAGCTGTAGTCATCAAACCATTTGCGGTGATCCTCAACATTTGGTGAGGTCAATACCTAATTTTTCTTTGCATTAAAATGTTCGCAGTACGTAGCCTTTAAATGGAAAATTAGAAATTAATATACATTTCTATATGCACTATGAAACCTTAAATTTTTTATAGTTTTCCATGTTTGGTAGAAAGAACCAATCCAGGCAACTGAGTATCAGGAAACTATTTCACGAGTACATCCTCCCTTAGAGCCAAGGTTGATGACTTCGTCACAAGGCCTCTTGAGTCGTCTTAACGCCATTAATATCGACTTTCTCCGGCAAACAACAAAATGCCCTTTTCTAAATTGGCTTCTCCTACTGTTTCATTCTAACATAAAAAAATAAAAATCTTAAAATTCTTTGAATAAATGGGAGCACACTCATATTACATCGTTTTCGTAAACAAATTACTCACACCCTAATGTACAAACAAGTAAGCAAGTATGTATTTAAATGCACTATAGTATTGTGCACACCCACATACATCCCCACTCATGCATGCATGCATACATATGTATGTATGTATGTATGCAAACTCTTAGCAACACATTAATTCTCATTTATTTTCAGTTATGTCAACCTACAAGGATCCATTTCCCGGCTGGACTGATAATTTGTATGGGCCATCAGGTTTGTGCACTTGGTCGGCGCGCGGTCTAGTGCGCTGCATCTATGGTCGGGCGAATTGCAAGGCCAATATGGTGCCGGCAGATTACTGTGTCAATGCAATGATTGCCAGTGCCTGGGATATAGCGAGGAGGTGAGTGCGCGCGTGAGTGGGGTATCGAAAAGAGTTAACCACTTGGAGTTGCAAACCATTCATGTACATATAAACATGTTGTAAGTGTATGTGTATGTACATATGTAGCAACAAATTGGACTCTCATTCTTGATTGCCTGTGTCGAAGTTTTGCAAGAAAATAGTAAAAAAAAAAATAAAAGTTACGTTGTAGTTAAATAACAAAAACTCTGCAAAAACTGATAAGAAGTTTTAGCCAAAAGTGGATGTGAACGAGTGGGCATTTTCCGTTGCATTAACTGTAAATAATAGTTGTTATGCATGCATGGATGGGACGAGGTTTAGGCGCACATTCGAGACTCATTTGTATTCATTAGAATTTAAAGACGAAATCCTAAGGGGTTGAAGTGTGGAAGAAATGAAAGAAAATGAACTTTGTTACTTGAAAAGTGGCTCCGAATTTTTGAGAGTGTCCTTGAATGGTTTTAAAGGACGCGTTTGAGTGAGTTTTTAATTCGGATAGCATGGAAATAACACAGTAGTGGAATTTAATTTTTGATCAGGTGCAAATTAAGATCGGTGGTTGGGGATTTTTAAGGTCTCAATTTTAATCCAAGAGGAATGCAGACGAGATATGTTTGTTAATATTGTGGAATTCTTATAAATGTCTTTGGCATAAAAGACCAGAAAAGAAATGTGTATTGCAGATATTTCAAAAGAGCCATTCCATGCTAATGCTAGTTGAATGAATGGGGCGGGAGTCGGGCGCTTCTGTAAGCAGTAGTGTATATTGGACCATCCATACTGAATGTCGCACCAAATATCTTGACCATAAAAATTGCAGAATGATGAAGTATTCCAAAATATCTGCTAACAGACCAGTGAATCTTACACAACGCCAAATTAGGTTAGAGCGTTTTATTTTCTACCGAAAAGGCTACCTTCTCATTGCGCTCCTCGTACAAATATTAAGCAGAAGACAATTAAATGGAAACTATTTTTGTAAAAGAGAAACCAGCACAACATGGTCGTACTTTGTTGAGGACACATTAAATATTATAGTTATACTGAAATGACGCAATCCAATCACGAAGATACGCAGGAAGGTAACATATTTCATAAACGTTATATTTAAGAGAGTTCGTAGCAGAACACACTCCGTCAGCACTTCAGTCACTGAAAAAGTCCACTGCTGTCTGCCTCCAGCTACGTTGCCCCATTTAAAAACTCCGTGAGGTATCTAATATATATACAGAGAAAGAACCAATTTCCGTTTTGCCTGTAAGATTAACTGTCGTTATGTTAAGCGCCAGAGAAGGAGTGGTCCACAATGAGGGCGGGCCTTTGTACATTCATGGTTCTCCCTTGCCAATTCGTCGACATCCTCATTACCTATGATACCGCAGTGTCCTGGTATCCAGCAAAGTAATACCCTGATCCTTGCTGCCAAGTGTTGGATAGTGTCAAAGCATTCCTTGACGAGTATGGAGGTGATCGTCCTACTGGAAAGGGCCCTTGTGACCGCCAGGCTATCTCAAAAGTAGGTAAAGCATCGAAGCTCAGCCATTTATAGGCTTTATACTTCCTCGCCTTTTCAACTTTGCAGTATGATGAGGTCTGGTACCGGGGGCTTGTAGGTATTGAATGAGTTTATAGTTAATGCTAGGCGACGGTTACCTAGCAGGTCAGGAGGATTATAACAGCCCTCGTGCCTGCCCTAACGAAGAATTCTCTTTGATGTGATTTACAAGGAAAGCAGAATAGCACAAATTCAAATTTTTTGATCTGATAATCAGAAGATCATCATTTGCAGTTTCCCTGGGTTGTACCTATGTTATTTCTTATGTGGAATTTCCGGCATCTAAAGTCGGTCTCCCGACCAAGGAAATAGTCTCCTGGCGGCGCATTGCAAAATCAATTCCGATCGCAGAAAGAACCATTCCAGTACATGGTTGCACATTAAGCCCTGTATGAGATATCTTAATTGTACTCGTATATATGCAATTAGGTATAAAAATCTCTGTGCGCTTGAAAAACAGATTTTTCCTTAAGAATTAAATTGAACGATTAGTGGTTTTATGAAATTAAATGTGAAGACATATTCCTGCCACTTTGCAGATCCCGCCAAGATTGAACTTTGAGGTCAAGAACTTAAATTTTCCAGAGAAGCTTTATCTTCGTGCTTTTCCAGTTGACCTTGCGACATTGGCAGGCCAATACAATTTTATTTTATTTGAAAATAAATCTAAACGACATTTGAATAGATGGGATATATTTTATTGTGCAAATCTATAAAAACGTTGAAGTCCTTTATTAGCTGTCAAGGAAAATATGTATATAGATTGCATGCATTCGTTTTCAGAAAGTCAGTTAAAGACCACTTGATTACCACGCAGATTACATACCGCTTGTAGGTACATGAAAAAAAAATGACTGCATCTATCTGCACTTACACCATGTTATAGACAACAAATGAAGCTGCAACGTCTGCTATCAGTTAGTGAAATTTATTGCCATGATTGTTGCATGTTGGTCTGCCACTCTCTTACTTGCAACAATTGGACACATTTGCCCTCAAGTAATTTTGCAACGCCATTGCCAGTCCTTTGGTTTAAACTTTTGAGTATTGCTTCTACTCATGTGGATGCTTGCATTCTTTCTCCTTTCTCGACAGATTTTTATTGCGCCAAAGTGATGCAGAATCCAAGGAGGAATTACCTGTCTACAATTACATTTTCGATCGGAACAATTTAACATGGGGCCAATATATGCGCATGTCACGTGAGGGATTTCACGAGCCATTTGACAAGGCATTGTGGTAAGTTTGATTACAAACAAACAAATATACATACGTTATAAGTTGCAAGCAAGCATACTTACATACATATGTATGTGCAAGTACTTATGTATGGCTAGGGGTATATACGGGTATATTTTGCATGGGTTTGCTTTGGTATATAGTGCCGTTACAAATGCTTGCTTTGAATCTTGTGCTGCATACGCCAATTTGACATGTGAACCGCCTAGAGATGTTAGTACTTATTTTGTATGGAGTTCATAGGCAATTTTTAAATTTACATTAGGATAGTCCTTAAAAGAAAATGCAATTTTTTTTTTTAACCTCGCCCTCTCTATCGGTAGCACCACGGTCACAGATATCATATATAAATTTTGGCCCCGATTGGAGACGGTAAGGCGTCTTCATAGGGTAATCTGAACTTTGACCACTGTGGGACACGCCTTAACCGACTTCAATCGAGACCAAAATTTATATGTGATATCTTCCACTATAAAAGCATCAATGTACGGGTTGAGGCTTAATAAATCTGATGCAAAGATTTGCTTCCTATATTGAAGGGCCACCCTAATGTGCATGCAAAAGTAGATCGAAATTTAAAAGTAAAATGTGCCTGCAAGAGTTTCTAACTAAGTTAGGAAGATCACCATTTCATTCTACGTTTGTGTTATTGACAGTTAACTGTGGAAATTTTTATAATTCTACTCTGCTTTGACTTTATTTTAACAGCTACTTTTGATAAAAACGAATGTTTAGGCCTCCACGCTAAACCAAGTAACTAAACGGGTGAACCACCCTAATGTGAGAATGCACTTTCATGTAACCGAGCACACACACATACATACATGTGTATATATAGGGCCAAATAATTGCTACGCCGTTAGCACATACACATGAATGTCCTTTTACCGCTTGAATATAAAACTTCGTTAAGTTTCCCCTCCAAACAGTTTGTTGCTTGGAGGTCAAACTTAATTGCTCAAGATTAAGCTCGGTCACTTCTATCGAGCACTTCGACCACACCGGAAGCGATCCAGCCACGACTCCTGCGTATTTTTCAAGGTAATATTGTATACCAAAAATCACAAGTCACATTTCACCAATTTGACTAATAAAGCCACTTTGTTATATATTGAATTAATCCGTGGTGTTTGCTTTTGATCATTTCATTTCAAAATTAAACCCTTGGTGCAACGACGAGCGACATTGCCCCAAGGCGTTCGCATGGTCCATCTCCGCCGAGACAAGATATCAAGCGGCCGTTTATTAAAACAACAAATAATTACAGTCCACAACACAAGGAGCCATAATCAGAGCACCATCACAAGGAGCACCTGGTCAAATCCTCTAGCACAAGGAGCACATACATATTTCTTTTGCGGCTCCACAATCAGGGCAATCAGCCACTGCGAGATCCAAATAACACGGAGCATTTCAAATAAGAGGAGAAACACCAAGTGCATCCGTCACCAGCTAATTACCAACCCAAACACACACTTTTATAAAAGGTACGTGGCTGACATTTAGTGCACATAAATATAGTTACGTATATTAGCAGTGGCTCATATATTTGTAGTGCATGTACGCAAAAAAAAAAAATATAAATATCTATCACAATCGGTTAAATTATCCGCGAGTGGTTTTGTGGTTCAGTGTGTTCTTTTGCTGATTGACTAACATACTTTCTGCGTGCGATTTCTTAATATCGGTTGTGGGCACAATATACTTAAGACAAAAAACCTCACTTCAGTTTTGTTAGTACGACCTTTTAATCAACTTAAGTTGTAGCACAATTTTCATAAAAATTCGTTGAGTAAATTCAGTAATTATCACAGTTTCAATTTACTAAAGCATTGTATCTGCGTCCATAATCCTCAATATTGGTGCTGCAAGTAGGTTCAATTTGCTTAGTCACAAACACTAACAACACTGCACGGGGTGGTCTTAACCTCACTTTGGCTTGCAATTTTGTGCTAATACACACTAAATTCACTCGTACGACCGATATTTCACATCCACAAAACCACTTTTCGCGTGTGACACAGAATTTTCCGATAGATTCAATTATTAGCACTGTTTATAATTGCTTCGATTTAAATATTAATTATATCTTGCTGTGTTGGGTGGCGAGCAAATTACATATATTACCTGTAAGCGTAAGAGATTAATATTTGTACACATACATACGCATATACAGGGCAAGTTTACATATCTGAGATAATAAATAAAACGTGTGGTACGGAATTAAAATTCCACTTAAATTCTGTGTAAAGCTTTATTGGATTGTGGTGTGGCTAGGCCTTTGCATAGTATTCGCTAAACAGCTTTCAGAATCATTTTCCTCAAAGCGTTCTTCTAATTATATCAAGCTATGGATAAGTTTATTCGTCTGGCAGACGCTGTGACAGAATTTGAGGCCGACTACAACGACACGGCCCAAACTGATCACACCAAATACACTCTTGCCATTCAACAAGAGGAGTTGAAAACGTTATGGAAGAAAGCGAAGGCAGCATATGAGGAATTAGTAAACTCTGATACGTTAGATGCTAAAGCAGTATCTGCTGTGAAACCAAAATATAAAAGCTCGTACGCTGTATATTTGCGATGCATGTCGAACATGGCAGATCTGCATGCAAAGCTCGTTAAGAGCGAAAAAGACATAGAAGGTACGTCTGTCCAAGAACACAACATTCACCTTCCTCCGTGCGATACGGAAGTGTTCAAAGGCGACTACCTCTCTTGGCCAACATTCCGAGATATGTTTACGGCCATATATATATTAAATAAGCGCCTCACTCCAGTTGAAAAGTTGTTCCATCTGAACCAAAAAACACTGGGTGAGGCCAAAGACATAGTGAGGAAGTGTCCTCTCACTAACGAAGGATTTGCCACAGCGTGGAAAAACCTAACAGATAGGTACGAGAATAAACGTATTCTCGTAAATTCCCAGTTGCAAATTCTTTTTAATTTAAAGGCAATAGAGAACGAGTGCGGCGTCTCGATTAAGAAATTACAGCGAGATATAAATAATTGCATCTCATCACTAAAAAGCCATAAAATTGATATATCGAACTGGGATGCAATATTTACTTATCTCTGCTCAACGAAATTGCCAGAAAGTACCTTGGCATTGTGGGAACAAACAATCGAAGACAAGACGGAGATATCGAAGTGGGAGGATATGGACAAATTTCTGTCCAACAGATTCCAAACACTGGAAACCGTCTCGGGTATAACGGGTACTAAACTTACAAAAATTCCCAAGCCCCATAATAGTAGGCATACTAGTGAAACTCCGCAAAAAAGACTTGGTGCCTTCCAAGCAAGTGTAGCTAAAACGACATGCAAATTCTGTAAAAGCAAGGACCACAAGTTATCAAAGTGCGAAAGATTCATCAATTTAACGACGGCCGATAGAATCGCCTTCATTAAGTCGAACCATGGTTGCTTGAACTGCTTATCTAATGGACATACTGTGTCCAGGTGTACATGCTCATTTAATTGCAGCACTTGTCACCAACGACATCACACGCTCCTTCATATTCAAGCAGTTCAGCCAAAAGCAACTATGCACCAAAGGCAACAAACATATGCATCAAAAGACTCAGATAACATAGCGTCCACTTCGGCACAGGCCCAAGCAATGCGCGACGCTGCAAGTGCAAAAAAGAACTCAGTGAACAAGGTCACGTCTTGTTTCGCTAATACTAACAAAGGCGTATTGCTGGGAACAGCAAGAGTTCATATTTTTTATAACAATACAAATTTCTCAGCTCGAGCATTAATAGATTCAGGTTCTGAGTGCTCTTTCATAACGGAAAGACTCAAACGCAGAATCAACTTGCCTTCTAAGAGAATGCATGCACAGGTATCTGGTATCAATAACACCATTTCAGCGCAGGTAAAGGAAGCATGCCTTATTCAATTGAGATCTCCAATTGATCCTCTAATAAACATCAACACAACCGTGCTGGTGTTGCCTCAATTAACCGGAAATCTTCCGACATGCCAAATTAATGCGATGACTAGCCAAGCTTTCCCGGATCTGGAATTAGCAGACAAGAGATTTTTTATTAATGAACAAGTTGATCTAGTCTTAGGCGGCGACATTTACGCCCAAATAATGTTGAGCGGAATCCGAAAAAACATTTTAGGTACGCTTCTGGCGCAGGAGACTGTATTCGGCTGGATACTAACCGGTCAAACTGACACGGTTACGCCAGCCAACAAATGTGTATCATTTTTTAACGAGGTCAGCCTCGATAAGCGTCTCGCGTCTTTCTGGGAAGTGGAAGACATTCCGAAAAACCAATCCTACAATAAAGATGAAGTTTATTGTGAAGAACTTTATAAAAGCACAACAAAGCGAAACGGTGAAGGCAAATACATAGTGTCACTGCCATTTAAGCAGGACTTCCCAAAAGACGTCAAATTAGGACCCTCTCTAAAAATCGCTTGCTCACAGTTCTTTAGGATAGAAAAGCGGTTGGCGAGAGACCCACCTCTGCAAACAGAATATAACCGAGTTTTGTCAGAATACGAGGCATTAGGTCATATGACGCGAATCGACGTGAATGTTCCTGCAGATGCATGTGACAATTACTTCTTGCCTCATCACGCTGTCAGGAAGGACGAAAGCACTACCACCAAAGTAAGGGTAGTTTTTAATGCATCGTGTCCGACATCAAATGGGGTGAGCCTTAATGAGGTGCTCTATCCTGGTCCAGTACTTCAAAATGATTTGCCAACATTAATACTTCGGTGGAGATTATTTAAGTATGTTTTTAACAGCGACATCGAAAAGATGTATCGCCAAATCTTACTAAACCCTGACCAAACAAAGTATCAGCGCATAATTTTTCGTACTAATCCATCCGAACCCATAAGACTTTATGAACTCAATACTGTGACCTTCGGTGTCAATTGCGCACCTTACCTGGCGATTAGAACTCTGCTTCGGTTAGCGAACGACGTGGAAGATTCGCACCCCATTGCATCGGACATCTTAAGAAAATACATGTACGTTGATGATGTTTTAGCGGGCGGTCATACTATCGAATCTGCTATTAAAGCTAAGGACGAGATCACAACAGTATTGCAATCTGCGGGTTTTCCTTTGAGAAAATGGACTTCTAACTGCGACAAAATATTATATGGTATCCCAAAATCCTATCTGCTGAAAGAAGATTTCTTGGACTTCGAAGACACCAGCACGGTTAAGGCTCTGGGCATCAGGTGGAACGCCCATTCTGATAAATTTTACTTCACAGCCAAGCCAATTGAGAATCAGGATAGACATACAAAAAGGGCAATACTATCGGCTATTGCCAAATTATTCGATCCGTTAGGGTGGCTCGCACCGTTTGTAATTACCGCGAAAATTTTAATGCAAAATATTTGGTTAGAAGGAACCGGGTGGGACGAAATTGTATCAACCTCCACATTAGACCGTTGGGAAAGCTTTAAGGAAAGCTACAGCCACATCGAAAGGATTCGTATCCCTCGTTGGATATATTTTTCACCGACAGCCAAAGTCGAAATACACGGGTTTTGCGACGCCTCAGAAAAGGCATATGCGGCTGCTCTCTATATTCGCGTCGAAAAGGATGACAAGGTCTACACCAATCTGCTACTATCTAAAACTAAAGTTGCACCAGTTAAAACGATCTCGCTTCCCCGCTTAGAACTTTGTGGGGCGGTTTTACTTTCAGAAATCCTCGATTCGATTACCAATAACCTGAATTTGGGGCATATTACGACAAAAATGTGGACGGATTCTACCATTGTCCTGGCCTGGATTCGGAAACCACCCTGCTCATGGTCAACCTTTGTTGCACATCGAGTAACCAAAATAATAGAAAAAGTCGGAAAAGAAAATTGGTGTCATGTAGATTCAACCTCAAATCCGTCAGACTTAGCCAGTAGAGGACTTCCGGCGCAAGAATTAGTAAACAATTCGCTGTGGTGGGAGGGCCCTTCTTGGCTGCAAGAAGATCACTCCAAATGGCCCACTCAAGAAAAGGACTATAATACAGTGATAGAAGAGAAAAGGGTGCAGGTACACGCAACAACAACGTTAGATATCCACGATGATATTATTGAAAGATTTTCTGATTTCTCGAGAGCTTTGAGAGTTTTATCTTATGTAATGAGATTCTCTCAAAGAACTCACCCAAAAACCAGAGCGTCATTTCAGGCGAAATCTTGTTCAATTTCAGCTGATGAAATTAAAGCAACGATAAGCCGCTTGATAACCATCTGCCAGAAGAAGCATTATTGGGAGGAGTATTCAGCATTAAAATCTCAGAAATTAATAGGTACAAAAAGTGAAGTACTACCCCTTAACCCTTTCATCGATAAAGACGGTATAATGAGGACAGGTGGCCGCCTAGGAGCATCTAGTGATCTCGCCTATAACGAGCGTCACCCAGTTATCCTGCCATATAACTGCCACCTGTCTCGTCTGATAGTCCAGTTCGTCCACAAGGTCTCGCTGCATGGCGAAAATCAGCTCATGCTGCGCCTAATCCGAACACAGTACTGGATACCGAGGGTCAAGAACATGATTAGGTCTACAATTCATAATTGCAAGGTCTGTACGATCTATCGAAAGCGTGCGCAAACACAGCTAATGGGAATTCTTCCCAGAGAAAGAACTACATTTTCACGACCGTTTACAAATTCTGGAGTCGACTTTGCGGGACCTTTTGACATAAAGAGTTATAGTGGACGAGGCTGTCGTATGTCCAAAGGATATGTCTGCCTGTTTGTGTGTTTCGCAACTAAGGCAATCCATTTGGAAGCTACCTCTGATCTAAGTACGCAATCTTTCTTAGCAGCATTTGCCAGGTTCGTTTCAAGAAGGGGATGTCCAAGAAACATCTACTCCGACAATGGTACCAACTTTGTCGGAGCCTCTAGAGCTCTGAGAGCGGAATTAAAAGCCTTTTTGATGGATGCACGCAATAGCACCTTAGCCAAATATCCCCACCAAATGCTTTCGTGGCACTTCATTCCCGCCTCAGCTCCTCACATGGGCGGGCTATGGGAAGCGGGGGTTAAAAGTTTTAAAAACCACTTTACGAAAATCGCATCAAACCATAAATATACGTTTGAAGAGTTTACGACTCTTCTATGCCGAATTGAATCCTGTCTGAATTCTCGACCATTAAGCCCCACATCAAACCAGCCATCAGACTTGGAGCCACTTACTCCAGGCCACTTTTTGGTTGGTGGACACCTATTAGCTCCACCAGAAATTGATGCTAACGAAAATACGGCTACGATTGTAAATCGTTGGCAAAGATTAAAAGCTTTACATCACATGTTTTGTAGCCGATGGAAATCAGAATACCTATCTGAACTCCAGAAGCGCAACAAATGGAGGCATCCTCAAGCCAACATCAAAATAGGAGACCTCGTCATTATTAAGGAAGACAACTTACCACCAAATGAATGGAGACTCGGAAGAGTCTTAAAATTATACCCAGGTTCGGATACTCGGGTACGAGTGGTGGACATCATGACCGAACGTGGCCAGGTAACAAGGCCACTAGTAAAATTGGTCTTACTACCACCCTGCAGTGAAGCAAACGAAGAACCAACCGAGTCTTCGTAAATACATTCTCTGTATTTGCGACTTCAACGTGAAAGCAACCAGGTATTCCACTTCATAGGTACCTGGAATATTCCACGACTGAAGCCGCAAATGTTAAATTTCATCAATCAACTTCACTTGCATTAGAAATAGAACTCTTACATGTTTTAAGTGGAAGCATACCTAACACTCATTTTGCATAGAAGATTGTCTTAACAATCTCCGAATATATGCATGCTTGACGACCATACAATAAGATTCCGTCGCAGAATAACTGAGATACACAGAACCGGAGCAAGGCATTATCTGAACAAATTTTAGCCGTAAATAATTCGCAAGCAATCCATTAACGAATGAATTATTCATCAATAAATTCCTTCTGAATAAATTAGTCGTGATTTGTTTTCAATTTGAAATGTTGTAAAACGAATGTTTTTCTATAATCTCTGATAGGCAGTTAGTTGAGTGGTTTTACTTTATCACGAATATGTATTCTATGTTCATTATTCAAATAACGAATAAAATAACACTCGCCATTAGAATAACCATAATAATTTTTCTTTGAGCAAACTAAATTATCTATTATTTACGAATAACGATAAATTTTACCCAGCTCTACATACATATGTATGTATTTAGTTTTTTCGCAGCCTAATAAGAGTCGACTCTAACGCTTATACGTATGAACGTTTAACGACTCAGTAAAAACTTGCATTATAAGGTGATGGTTCTCTACCCGAGTTCCCCCGGGGCGACCTGGTAATATAAAACCGACCATCGTGAGATCTACATATGCCAATAATAATGAAATAAAAGGGGCCATTCTGCCCAACAACCGATCCTCCGCTCATGAAAGAATTTTATATCTACCTGATTTCCTAATAGCTAAAATATTGTCGTCACCAAAACCTTTCTTTCGTTAACGTTTTCTTTTCTTTCAAGTTCGAAACGTTCAATAAATATAAATGTTCAGAGCTCAATTAGCTGTCTCTTAGCCATTTTACAAAGAAAAGGAAATGTTGGGAAAGTCTTAAGTTGTCTTGTGAATTGTAGGAATTTTACATATCCCTTGTTTTACCTACGCAAAAACTGTATTCACAAAAGACCGATTTGATTTAACTCGACATTTGTTAATTAATAAATTTGCGTGCTGGACCGAAATGGAAGTGAAGAGTAATACAAATGTATTACGACAATAACTCCAATAAAAAAAACGGGACTTCACTCCATGTAAACAAAAAGATCTTTATTTACCCGCGAGATACACCAATTTATAGTGTAAAATTTGTTTTTAATTCCATTGGACATAAATTCTCACAATAAAAGCAACAACAGGTTTTAGCGTCATGTCCGCGCAAGATGCGCGCAATGAAATTATACGCGAGAATATACCTAAATTAATCAAAGAATTGACTGGATTAGCAGATGATGATGAGAACTTACGCAGCTGTGAACAAATGGCCTGGTCCATCATACGAAACCATCGCAATTTGAGTACCAACAGTCATGAAGTGCGTCGGAAAATCGAAGGAATACAGGAGAAATTCGCAGTCGACAATAATCTCGAGTATGCTGAACATCTGGGGCGCCTGTGTGATGAGATCATACAACATCCACTTTGTGTGGAACACTATGAAGTTGATGTACATTGGTCTATGCTCTTGAATTTGGCATACATTTTACGTTTGGAGCGGAATAGTTGTGTAAAATATATTGAATCAAACAGCAATCCCTTGGCGATAGTGGACCTCAACGAAAGTACTGATGATGCCGATTATGTTACAAACTCGCAGATCGCTGCCATCGAGTTGACATACATACGTTGTCATCAATATTTGGCCAATAAATTGAATAATGAGGTGTATATAAAGCACAATGCATTTTTGCTGGGGCTTAGTACCGCATTCAATACAAGTTTACCATATTAAAATGGAATTTATTTTCATTTTTATGCAGTGCTTCAGTTGAATTATAAGTTATTGTTGAAATTTTCAAAACATTAATTAATGGAGAACTAAAATATGTGAATACTTTTTGGTATTGCTTTAAATAATTGAAATACAAAGTGTTAAATACGTATTCGACCTTTTTTAATTCATAATTGGACCTCTAAAAAAAAAACCTGAATCTGCGAAATTCAATGAATGTTATGCTTCATATTCAGCGAAGATTCGATCAATGAAGTATATCACAAAAATGCTTTAAACAAGAGAAAAGACTAGATACAATCCCAGTTTGCTTTTGTGTACCAAACTACTTTCTTTCAATTTATGGAGCTCTGAACGACGGACACAACTGTTTATAAACACATTGTCGCCTTGGTTACCTTTACGCATGCATAAATATGTCATCGTTTGCGCTATCAAAAACCAAAAACATTTTCGGTTTTCGGAGAAAAGGCTACCAAAAGGACATTTAACAAAAAAATATAAATTTAAAAAATGCAATTAAAATCTAGTTTGCAAGATATAACATACAATGCTAATCTATGGCTACAAGCCGCTATGCTAATCAACGCTTACGTTTCAGCAGTTTGGGGAATACTATACGGTCTTTATATACTCTTTAACTTAGAAGAAATGCAGGATCTCTATGGGCGCTCGATTATAATAGCTTTTATATTATCACTGCTGGCTGAGATTTATCGTTTGCGTGCAGGCTATAAAGGCAACTTGATGGCAGATGATCAGTGAACTGAGCATCTTTCTTGAAAATCAATTATAATATAAAAACAAACACGCGAGTTGCTACAAATTGCCGCCTCAAATGCGGACAGCGATTGTGATCGACATGTAGAGCAATTTCTCAATGGTAAAATCGATGTACAAACATTTTTAAATAATTATACGCATTCAAAGAAAGTAAGCGCCGAACGCAAAGCCAAAGAAGAGCGCTTGGGTCACCAACTTAGCGCATTGGAACGTGCCGGCATTTAAAAAATAGCTAATATTAGACCAAAATGGTATTGTAAAGTAGCTATTAGACATGGCAAGAGCGAGTAGTTTCGAAAAGTCTGGCACACTCAAGAATTTCCAAAAGAGTTTGCGGAAGCAGATATAAGCCGTGCTCAGAAATGCATCAACAAAACATTAGTCGCTTTTATTACCACGCTTTATCAACTTGTTTGTTTTTATATTATAATTGATGGATCCAATATGCGCAACCCCGGTTAAATACCGAATTGAAATTTATGCCGATTTCGTTTTTGCCAGGAAATGCAACCTTCTCTTTGCCCTCTACGCGCAAACACTAAGAAGAGGGCGATGAGAGGGCAACATTTTTTGTAGAAGGGAAAACGACATTAGTAGCGCAAAGAGGGCCGTTCCATCAGTTATGTTTTCGAAAAAAGGGGCTGATGCCTTGGCTTGCTGGATTTCCAAACACAGCCACATCTAGTATTTAAAGTGACTTTGGAAAGCAGTTATTAATTTTCGAAAATAGAACTTTCTGATACAACTCTTTGTCTTTTTACAAGGTGAATGAAAAAAAAAAAAAAATTTAACTTTCAACTATGTTACCAGACATTTTTATGCGTACTTCATATCAGGAGAATAAACTAATCTCAAGTACTTTTGATATTATTTCAACATTTTTATAATTGTGCACAAATTGATATCACCAAGGTGTATTAAATACATACATACATACACATTTTGAATATCACAGCACTTTCAAAAAAATGTGAGCATCTTTGTTGTAACAACACCGCTTATACAATTACCTATACTCGTGTTCCTCTTTCTCTCCGTTGAAGGGAATTGGCAGCTTGCTTTGGCCAGTTAAGGCATGGTGTGCCCATAGTTTGCTTACCCATCTGACATTGATACATGTTTCTTGGAGATTGATTGTAGTCTGGCATTGGGATCAAATTCGCCAAATTGCTGAGAAATTCAGTTTTAGACAATTCCATATGTGTGGTAAAGCCAGGATAGAACTCTTTTAAGTCGATTGCAATATCCATATATACTTGCTCCAGTGAGCCAATATACTCGATTTTTCCAACAGCTAAATTTCGAACTGGTCGCATAAAACGTGCGGGTCCCACAAAGAGAAATAATCCTGGAAATTGTCCTTTTGCTTTATAAGGTATGGATGCGATTTCCATCATTTCAGGCAAATATCCATCAATTTTCAAAGTACGTAGTCTGTTTACAATATAGCAATGGTAAATTAAAATTGTACAATTAATAACCTACAATACTTACCGCTCAGCCTCGTGGCAGCTTTATTTTTCTTCAATGACATTTTTCTTCATTGAGGATATTGCAAAGTTTGCTGCAGGTGATTAGAGACGACTTGTCAAGGCTAGGGATAGAGATGTGCAATAAAACTCGGTACTTTAGAAAACCCGGTTTGTTTCGTTTTTGCTGTTTGATTAATTAATGGAAATCCGTTTCGGGTTTAGTATTTTTTTGTTTCGGTAGATAAATAAAAACCCATCTAATAAATGGGTGGATACCAAATTTCTTCGTCATAAATTTGTTAATTTGCTGAAGAACATTTTTTCATTTATAAGGGTTCAATTTATTTCTGCACCCTAGTCAGTTTTTTAACCCCGTCTCATCACGGAGAAAAGTTACCGATTGGCACACAGCCTAACTCTGAAAATGGTTATGAAAGATTAAAAGACAACCGGTTCTTTGAAAAGGGCGTCCATCTCTAACTAGCAACGGCGCCATCTGTTGTTCGTGAGCAGAACCAACCAAATATTGGTTTTTGCCACTCTTCTTCTGGTGGCAGGAAAAGGTGAGAAAACAAAGCTCACCATAATCATCATGTAATTTTGCATTTACTCGTTCGGGAAATTGCTTTCAAATTTCTCACACGTATGGATGGCCACCCGTATGAGTTTGGTTTTTTTTTGTTAATTCTCACATTATTATTCATTTAATTTATGTCAATATGGCAGCTCACGGATGAGCGTAGATGTCAAAAATCGATAAAAATTTATCGCTAGATGTATATAAGGGAGCAAACACAATCTTCATATGCTCAGGTAATATTGCAATATTATGCACCCCTTACACGACCAATTGAACACGTCAATCATAGACCAACACCAACGTGGGTTTAGAGCGCGCAAGCAATATATGCCAATTCACGGTTCTATAATTATATGATGTAATTCTCGCCACCCAACCATAAGTACCATGATATTAAGAATAAATATCAATAATAGCAATGACTTTACGATCGAAACATCGACAAAATAACCATTTTCAGGTAATAATGACTCGCTATACAATGCTAAGAAAGAAAGCGGAACGCCACGCTCATCGTTACCCGATAGCGTGCCGGCTATGCGAGGGTAAGCACCCAATCCGTCTATGCCCAGTATATCGAGCAAAGACCCCGGAAGAGCGTTTGCGAGAGGTCCTGTTAGGGCGGTTCTGCGGCAATTGCTTGTCGATGACGCATCGTGTACAAAGGTGCACCAGCCGCGATCGATGCCGCCGATGCCATGACAAGCACCATACGACGCTGCACATCGACGAAGAGCCCGTTGACCGGAGACCGTGGAGCCAGCAGGTTGCCAGCGAAGAGGAAAGAGACAACGTCCTCTCGATATACGCGTCAGACTCCGGAACGGATTCCCGAACCCGCCGCCCTGAAATCGAAGAGGGCGAAATAATTGAGCCTGTAGCGGAAGCGAATTTTCCAATATCGACGGGGGGATCGGAAACCCGGACTTTTCGACTCCCGTTAGCACATAAAAGGCGACAACATCAACGGGCGCCGCAGCGTCGCGGAGCGGAGACTCGGTCTTTCCGCCGGCGATCCATACGCAAAAAGGCTACCGGTCAAGAAGGGCAACGGCAACGGGCACGACAGCGCTGCGGAGCGGAGACTCGGTCTCTCCGCCCGCGGTCCATACGCCAAAGGGCTATCGGTCAAGAAGGACAACGGCAACGGGCACGACAGCGCTGCGGAGCGGAGACTCGGTCTCTCCGCCCGCGGTCCATACGGAAAAGGGTTTCCCGTCAAGGAAAACAACGACAGCGCCGTGGAGCGGAAACTTGGACTTTCCGCCCGCGGGACACAAACAACGTGGCCTCAAGACGCGATGAACGACGGGGTGGACTGGTGACTCGGCCTCGCCAGCTACCCGTCGCCTTTAGATCCGGCCAAGTAACGCTAGCCGCTCAGGGCTTGAGACCATTTACGGCAATTTCCCCTACAGCCATAGTAAAGATAGAATCTAGGGGACGCTTACACCTCGTACGCGCCTTAATTGATGTGTGCGCGCCAGCGTCTATAATATCGGCTAGTCTGATGCGAGAATTGGGCTTGGAGGAGAGTGGCTTCGGGCACCAACGAAGCTGCATGATTCGGCTGAGAGGAAAACATGGGCAGGGCGCCAGGCTGGCGATCCACGCAGCAGTAGTCGGTAACTACGTGCAGCTAAGCCCTACCGCCAGTGTCGACCGCTCGATAGCCGCATCATATAACAATATTCGCCTGGCAGACCCGAACTTCTTCACATCGACTCCAATCCGCTTGGTGCTAGGAGCAGACGCCTACCCGGAGATCGTTCTGCCGGGCACGTTGCCCACGTCCTTCGGCCCTCTCGTGGCTCAAAATAGCATATTCGGCTGGCTATTATCAGGGGCTTGCCGATCTTAAACTACGTATGACTGATATGTAGTCTCCGTTTTTATACGATACCATTTATTTACTTTTATTCCCAAATGAATTATGGAAACAAACTATTTATTGAATTTTGAATAAATATATACGAAATTTGTGCACTGAAATGTCAAGCCATGTCCTGTTTATTTCATTTTTTCTTCTACAGCCTTAGGAAACCGACGCGCTCACCAAAAAGTGGCAGCTGCGGATCCAGCTTAATGGAAAGAAATAAAGCTAATAAGTTTAGAATAGTTTTTTTTTCACATGGAGGAGTAATGGCTGAATCGCTCGACTTCTGTTGCGTATAGCAAGGGGGCCGGCATGTTTAGGCCTCCACGCTAAACCAAGTAACTAAACGGGTGAACCACCCTAATGTGAGAATGCACTTTCATGTAACCGAGCACACACACATACATACATGTGTATATACAGGGCCAAATAATTGCTACGCCGTTAGCACATACACATGAATGTCCTTTTACCGCTTGAATATAAAACTTCGTTAAGTTTCCCCTCCAAACAGTTTGTTGCTTGGAGGTCAAACTTAACTGCTCAAGATTAAGCTCGGTCACTTCTATCGAGCACTTCGACCACACCGGAAGCGATCCAGCCACTACTCCTGCGTATTTCTCAAGGTAATATTGTATACCAAAAATCACAAGTCACATTTCACCAAT